TTTTATTTTAAAATAATAGTTTTTATTCTTTTGCATTAATTTTACTTTATAATTATTTTTTAATTTTAATTATTTATCATATCATAAAAAATTACTTTTGTTTTTATTTTTTAAATAAAACAAATAAAAAAATTATCCATAAATCTTTATTAATAAAATTAAAAGTTGAAGGACTTAATTGTGAAAACGTAACATCATAACATACTAACCTGTATTTTGTTTGAGAAGAATAGCAGGGAAAAGAAGGGAAGAGAAGAAAAGAGAAGAGAATTTCTCTCGTTTAAATAAATAATTAAATTATCAATAATTTAAATAAGTCAATGATCATTTTTTTTGTTGAAAATAAAAAATCTTAAATTCAAGTCGTATGATATACTGATAAAATTGGATAAAAGGTGAATGCTTCTTATTGTGTAATCAAAATAAAAAAAAAATTAAATAATTAAATAAAAAAATTAAATAATGAGAATTTTCCCCCTTCTTCTCTATTTAATTTTTGTTTATAACCAAATAAAAATTTTTTTCCCTTCCCCTCACCTTCCTTTAATCAAGCATACAATAAGAACTCCACTACGCGGTCCATTGGTTGGACCGCGCTTTGTTTTTGAGGAACAAAGTGAAAATCACTCGTTCGACTCATTCAACATTCACTAGAATGGATATTAACATTAACAGCTAACCATTTTTTATGTCAAAAAAAAAAAAAAAATCAAGCATACAATAAATGATTAATAAATGATTAATGAACAGAACTCCCAAAACGGGGAGTTGCGAGTTGGAATATATGGCGGTGGCGGCTGCCCTGTTGTTGTGGTTCTTCTTGCCCGGAAAGTTCCCTTCCATCTCTACCTCATAATCCTCTGGTCCTTTCTTTGAACGAGGGGGAGGTTCTTTCTGGGGGATTCCCTTTGTATATATAAGTGTAGTCTTCTCAGTCTACAACTAATCATTTCTCCTTCAGGCATCTTTCTCCCCTGTTTTGATTCATTAAATCCATTTTCATCTTGATTCAATTTCATCCTCTCTGTTTTTTTTCTTAACATCTGTTTGATCTTCCATGGATACCCTTCTTCAAGATCTTCCCAGTTCTATCCATGGTTTAAGATTCGATCATGGGTCGTTCCCTGTCTGTTCAAATCACAATCTTTTTTCTGGGTTGAACCCAAGTCGTAATCTTGTGGTTCCTCCACCGCCGGTTCCACCTCCCAATCCGGAATCTCCACCGTCTCCGATGGATCCGGCTCCGTCGTTGGTTATGAACCCGGATGGGCATCCCGATGATACTCCCTATGCCAATCTTGTTCTCAAGTACATAAACGAGATGCTGATGGAGGAGGACATGGAGGAGAAGACTTGCATGTTGCAGGACTGTTTGGCTCTCCAAGCCGCGGAGAAATCCTTCTATGAAGTGCTCGTTGAACATAGCCCACCAAGTGTACGTCAGAATGCCCAAGACCCAAGTGATAATCTCTCTGAGAGCTTAAGTGCCAGCAATTTGGTTGATTCTCCTGAAAAAAGCTCGCTGGCATCAGATGCCGTGAGCGATTCCTTTCTCAACTTTACCGGGTCTCCTTTTTTGCAGGAAAGCAACCCATCAAGGTCGAGAGGGAGGAAGAATTATGAGCGTGGAGACGGTGGATATTTAGAAGAAGGGAGGAGCAACAAGCAAACTGCATTTTCGGTCGACGATTCCGATTCTGAATCATCGGAGATGTTCGACGATGTATTGCTCTGTAAGGGGGGAAATGATGGGCGTCTGTTGCCTACTGTTACTGAGAAATCGCAAAACAAAGGGTCTACCGCCGGAGCAACTCGCCGGAGGAGGAAAAGCAACAAAGGGGAGGTGGTGGATTTATGGAGCATCCTCACTCAATGTGCACAGGCTGTTTCTATCAATGATCAGAGGACTGCCACTGAGCTTCTGAAACAGATAAGGCAGCATTCGTCTGAGTCCGGTGACGGAACACAGAGATTGGCGCATTACTTCGCAATGGGCCTGGAGACACGGGTCGCTGGCATGGGGGCTCCAGCGTATTCACCAGTAAGTAGCAGGACTTCCGCCGCTGATATCCTCAAAGCATACGAGGTTTTTGTTTTGGCATGTCCCTTCAAGAAAATGTCGAATTTCTATGCAAACAAAAGCATAGTAAAATTAGCAGAGAAAGCAACCACCATTCATATCATTGATTTTGGCATCTGCTATGGCTTTCAATGGCCTTGCCTCATCCAGCGCCTCTCCGAAAGGACCGGTGGACCTCCAAAGCTTCGCATCACCGGAATCGAGTTTCCTCAACCAGGGTTCCGGCCTGCAGAAAGGGTAGAAGAGACAGGGCGTCGACTGAAAAAGTACTGTGAGAGATTCAACGTTCCATTTGAGTATAACGTCATAGCTAAGAAATGGGAAACGATACGACTTGAAGAACTGAAGCTCGGCAAGGATGAGGTGATAGCCGTTAACTGCCTGTACAGGATGAAGAACCTTCCTGACGACACAGTGGTACCCAACAGTGTAAGAGACACCGTCTTAAAACTGATAAAAGATATCAAACCGGATTTATTCATCCATGGAGTCGTCAGTGGAACATACAATGCTCCTTTTTTTGTCACCAGGTTCCGGGAGGCTCTGTTCCACTTCTCTGCCTTCTTCGACATATTTGAGGTCAATGTTAACCGTGAAAGTCAGCAGAGGATGATGTTCGAGAGAGAGATATTCGGGAAGGATATTATGAATGTGATTGCTTGTGAGGGTATACAGAGAGTCGAAAGGCCAGAGACATACAAGCAGTGGCAGACTAGGCACCTGAGGGCTGGATTCAGGCAGGTTGGTCTGGATCAGGAGCTGCTGAAGACAGTGAGGAAAATGGTGAAATCAAGTTACCATAGAGATTTTTTAATTGATGTAGATGGTAACTGGATGCTGCAGGGATGGAAGGGGAGAGTGATCCACGCTCTTTCATGCTGGAAACCTGCATAGGAGTTTAGCATAAGTAGTCTCACTGTTTCTTTCATTCTTTTATTCCCCAGCTATTTGATATTTTTCAGTAGAATTACCTGAGTTTATCAGGTGCTTATGTAAAAATTTGTGCTCATAGATAGCAAGGATGATACGTTCCTTTGCAGTTCAAAGGAGGATTTCTTAAAATGAGTAACTAAGGGAAGTTCGTAAAGGAAACTGGACTTTTGATAAATATGATGATAAATTAATAAGGTTACATATAAAGGCTAAGAAGGAAAGAGTTACTCACAATGGACAGTATAATTAATCTCTCACCTTTTTTGTGGCTTTGGTGATCTAAGGACATTCCAACCCAGCTTCTCGCGCTTTGGTTGCTTATGTGAGGAGGCTTTGCTTCTGCTTGGTGATGATTGAACACCTTGATCATCTTCTGGTGATTTGCTTGAACGTTGTGGTTCAGAAGCTACACCAGATTGTTTTCTTTTAGGCGCTCCATTGGTTTTACAATTCTCTGAATCAGCTTTTGAGCGCTTGGCCCCCATCAGGTGAAGATCCATTTTCTCTGTGTCAATTCAGAAGCATATATCAGACAAGAAATTGAGTGATACACCTTGTAGAACTGTGCAGATATGCAGCCACAATTATGACTATAATAAACCCATTAATTATCCACTTTTGCATCATATTTAGTATCATTAAAAGATATATCAATATGAATGAATGGTTTTTTTTCCTTGCCTTTAAAACTTGCAACATGCTTAAAATTCTATGGACAAGAAATCAAACAGGTGTCCTGATAACCATCTTCTGAGATTATGAGTATATTAGAAACTTTCCTTGTATGATACAGCATATTTAAAATTTTTTATCATGTGAAGGTATGTATAATTAATGAAGTGTAGCTTTCACAAGGCGACACTTTCTTTCAATTTCAAGCCAGGCACAAAGATTGAAGTCACATTTCTTTCATTTGTCAGGATAATAAACACATCTGACTATTAACATGCATCATTCAAGTGCAGATAGAATATTTTCCAAATTTTTGTTAAATACCAGAAAGTTATAGATAGTTATCAAGTAATGGAAACAGACACGAACCTACTCAAAGTTCTTCCACGAGCTGTCAGGCTGACCAATGTTTAAAGCTTGTTCATTCAGTTTCTACCAACAAAAAGACAGGACTTTCACATGAGAGCAGCAGAAGCCAGCAGAGCATGGAAGGTGAATTTTGTCCATGGTAAAAGAATTCTCAGGCCACTTGACTTGCATCCTTACATCAATAGAAGGGTTGAAACTTTAAAATGACATACGCCCAATGGTTGCTCCTGGATGGGGATCCCCTTCCATAATGACCACACTACATCATTAGCATGACACAAGTGAAAATATGAACAACTCCATGAAGAGAGTTGGGGTTAAATAAGCAGCCCTTATAATTGACTGTGTTTAATTATAAGAATCTCAACAACATAATTTCACCAATAGAAATGTACCATAAAGAAAAATGTTGCACAAAGTACGTATATAGGTCATGGCTGAGGCAAATTCAAGGAAGGCTATCTAGAATCTAAACATACACATAGTACCTCCATTTTGCACAAAATATGTATTACTAATGACTGCTAAACAGACATTTGGCATCTGACATATGACAGTTTGTTTGTCCTACGCTACACATTGAAAATCACAAACCATAACAGAATAATAAAAGATAGCAACCGCCCCAAAACATTATATGAAAAATTGGCATCAAATGTCCACAGTTTCTGTATTACAGCCGTTTAGAATGATTTAATACCACGTAATGAATTGAATAAGGCATAACCAAGTCCCAACTGTGTGCTAATGTAAACAAACAGATAAAAGCAACATGGACTCGCAAGATATACCATCATTGAAAGTTGAAAGCAGCATAAATTCAAGAAACAAGGCTAACCAAAAAAGAACAAAAAAACTTTACAGTATATAAGAATCACAATAAACAACTCAAAAAGAACAATTATCAGAGAGAACAAAACAAAGGCATACCATTTATTCTTAACGGTGCCTCTACTATCAGGCTTGATCTCTTCTTCTTTTTTAGTTTTCTCTTCTTTCTGAGCTGCCCTCTGCATGAACTATAGGAACAATGAAACATAATCACAGTTAAAGAAACATAAAGCTAGTACAATTTCACAAAAAATAAATAAGAATAGATACCAAACAACAGCTTAATCCAAGGACCAATTCAAACCTAAAGTAAGGATTTCAAGAAATTCCAGAGCTTAGATAAAATAGAAGAATACCCACATTCTAAACAAGACTTCAGAAAATAAACAAGTAGAAAAGAGTATGTTTTGAGCTCTTGGTCTACCTTTAAGCTTCTCAAAGTACTGGAAAGCTCTCGCTTTGTCCTCTCCGGAATTTCCTTTATTGAGCTGATTGTAAACCCCAAAAAAGCTATAAATTAGTAGAAAGGAGTTTGCTTTTGCACTCCCTTTTCGCTCCCACAAACTATGAGACACAATATCGGAGAATTCCTCCTCGCCGGCGATTTTGTGCTTTGAACAGAAGCGGCGGCTTTACGAAGGTTTCCCAAGCGCGCCATTCAAAGATTATATATACGGCAACAAAAGGAGTAAAATAAATAATATAAAAGTGAAAAAAAGAAAAAAGAAAAAAGAAAGCAATCATAGAATGCCACGCCTGTACTGGCTCTTCAATCAACCTATAAAAAAGCACGAATCTTTATTTACTGCAGCCAAATTGCCAGTCTTTCAATCGTCTCAAACGCTAACAGGAACAAGTTGAAGATTATTCCGAACAAAATTCCAAAACCTGGAATTGTTTTGCATTGACGTCACCGTCAATCTGTCATCCTTTCTTCATCCTGTTTTTAGATTCTGGGTCCGTTCAGCTTTTCCAATTAGTGTACTTTTTAATGCAGTACCTTTATGTTACTAGTGTGCATTGACATGAATCTGTTGATGGGGTTGTTGTTTTGATCTTAATCTTTTGCCGTGTTTTGCAATTTGACTGCTTTCAATTGGCATTTCCTATTTGTTTGTTTTCTTGTTAATTTTTGACAGATACTAGCTGTTTAACTTGAAGTCTTGAACTAGATGATCAGCTGATCATGGTATGTTTCATGAATGTTATCCTTCTTGTTTGTGTTTGTTTGATTGAGGTCATCTAACTTGAAATTGTTTCGTTACTGATTATTTGGTTTGGTGGTTCCACTGATTCAGAAAAAATTCATTAAGAATCAATAGTTATAAGCTTCATTAAGATTTGATGAATTTATTAGTAATGGTCTTAAGTATACTTAGTGATCATTTAATTTGATGATTTTAGGCCACAAGAAATCTTGGTGATTCATCATTTGAACAATGTTATCGTTGCTACCCTGTCCCTTTCATTGATAAGGTTAGTTTTTTTATGTAAATTATTGATAAGGTTAGTGGCATTAAGTTTTTGTTTAATTCTTTTGCTTTATTCCGGTGATTCTTATTTATTTAAATCTTTACAGTCACATCTGGAGAAGGGTGATAAAAGTATGTTGTTCCTCACAAAGTTTTATGATTTATGCTCTTTCTCTCTTCCTCTCTATAATGTTCATGAAAAATATGACTTTGTAACTGTTGTCACAAATTCCTTGTTGTTACCTCTAGTTATAATGCCTCCTTCAGCTCTGGATTGCCTTGGTTAGTTGATAACTCCATTGTCTTGTTGTTCTTCTCAATGTATGTAAAATTGTAAATGCAAACCTCAACTACTGGATTTTACTCATACACTTCCTCTCCAGCATCTTTAAATGTGGAGTACCCAATGCTGTTTGAATCAAGTAATGATTTTGCTGGACAGATTACTCATTGTGGCGGTCTAGAATTCATTGCAGACGAGGGCCTCATATTCTTGCGGTCTTGGGTATAGTTTTGGTTTTCCTTGTTGATCTTTTGATAAATGTAGTATTTGAAGAATGATATATTTATGAAGGCCAAAAAAAGAATGTTTTTCTCCTATTCTTTGTCTTTAGATCATTAGATGATGCAGAACATGCTCCTATTTTTCATTTACCTTGTTGATGGAGAACATGCTCATTTGCCTTGGTTCTTGTTTTTCTTCTATTTTTTGTCTTTAGATCATTAGATGAGGGAGAACATTCTCCTTCAAGAGGGAGACACCGTGCTGGTGAAATGTGCAAGCTTAGCAAAGGGAACTTATGTGAAGCTGCAGCCCCACATAATGGATTTTTTAGATATCTCCAACCCCAAAGCCATGTTTGTATATCATCCTTACAATTTTTTTTTTCTTTTCATCTGATAAACTATAATACAATAGGCCTTAAGACAGCCCTTTTTCAAATCTCTTTCCATTGATCGCAATGTTTTAACCTAGAGCTCTTACTTGAAAGTTAAAACTGTCATTCTTAAACTGGTAGACTGTCCTATAAAGAATGGTAACTTCTTCTATGGTAGAATAATCTGTATTCATTTCTTTGATTCCTTCAATCCTTACTCACTTGCAGCTTGGAAACTACATTGAGGGGCTACTCTTGCCCATCCACTCGAGATACCATCATTTTCCCTTATAACAATAAAAGATTCTACATTAATAGAGTGGAGACAAAACCTTCTTCTGCAGTTAGTATCATCAAAACTGATTGTGAAGTAGAATTTGCCCCTTGTCTTGATTATAAGAAACCTGAAAAGCCAGCACCCTCTTCTCAAAAATGCAAGATGCCACCCTAAGGTTTGATCCCATCTAGTATTTTCATTTTTTGTTTATATGTAATTCTTTTCCATGTCTGAATTGATTCAATCCTACAAATGATCCAGTTGAAGAAGAGCAACCTGGAAAAGTGGCCAAGTTCAGTAGTTTCACAGGTTCAGCAAGACGTTTGGATGGCAAACCCCCAACAGAAACAGCAGTGAAGTTTCACCACGAGTAGAAGAACCAAAGTTTAAAGCCTTCACAGGGAAGAAGTATTCACTCATAGACTGATCTCATTCAAGCTGTTTTTGAGGAATGGTGAAAGAGTCAAGTACTGGTGATTGATGAGTTTCCTTGCTCAAGGCTTTTGTCCAAATATAACACTACATGTGCACCTGCTGATCAGAAAAATAAATAACTATACATCTGTACCGCATGAACCAGAATCGGCATGGACACTTGATCAAAATGCCAAAGGTAGATGCTGATATTTAGATTAGTTATATATAAATCTCAAACATTATGGAAAGCTATTCCAAATTCACATCTTTTGTTTCAAGAGTTTCAAGAATATGAAAATAGTCAACATAGTTATTGAATTGCTCTAACTATAAGGTTTGCATTCAACCTAAAACCAATTGACAATAAGTGAAGTAGCTTTTCTTGTATTTAACCCATAAGCTTCTTATTTTTATACTCGATGTGGGATTTTCCCACTTAATATAAACTGATCATACATTTGCTACTGTTACACTTCACTTGTGTTAGATATGAACCCTGACAAGTGACAAGGTTCTTACAGAGACGGTGAAAACTCCCACCAACAATGTCAGTGCTTTCAATAACCAAGCTCTAACTGTTGTCTCAATTACAACACCTCCACCCACGTCTGGAAAACTTCCATATAAGAGACATTCGTATCTAGAGTTTGAAGACTGCTGGATCTGATCCTTATATTCCATATTCCATTTTAATCTTCAAGGATGAGTGTAGCACCACGCAAGTCTGAAAACTGCCATGTAAACACGTTAGTGTCAAAAGGCTAATAGGAAACAGAGTGTATAAAAGCAGACCATACCATTGATCACAAGAATCGAATAATTCCATAAATTTCGCATCGAATCAAAATTAGAACTTTTGCTTTTGAGCTAGAATCTGGTTCTTAACGCATTACATAACTTGAAGGCCAAAGCCCCTTATTTGCACCCTCCATTTAATTCTTTTCCACGGTTAACATCTTCCAAAATTTTTCCTTCCCATTCACACCCTCAACTTTTCAAAACCCGTGAAAAATCCAATATTTTAACGCGCTGTCACAGCATCATTAAAAAATGCACTATGTGGCACCTATAAATTGACGTGGCACTGTGTGGCATTAATAATCTAATCTGGATCCCTTTTTTGGTGATGTGGCTTATTTTTTGCACACGTGAACACCATGTGTATAGTAAGGCCCACTTTGCGTGAGACTTTTCACGCTTGTCCTTGCATCCCAACCAAAAAAGAAATAAAAAAAACTTAAAACCTAAAACAGACTTGTAGAAACCCCTTTCTCTTCTTAGTCTTAGTCTTAAACCCCAATCCAGAACCCATCGATTTGGTGCGATCGAAGGGAATCTATGTCAGTGTGGAGTCTGAAAAGCGAAGGAAAATCAGAACTTCTTGTTTTAGATTAGTTCGTAAAAGTCATTGATCCAGAGGGGACCATTGTTGGAGAAAAAGGGCACGATTAAGGGCGCGAAAAGGACAGAAAGTTTGGTGAGTGCCTTTATGCTGTTAATAAGTTTAATTTTTCTATCATTCTTCGTGGATTTTTGTATTTTCTTCAAGAATATTGTTCTTTTGTGTCCCACTAATTGTGTCCCACCATCAATGTCTCATGTTATTGTTATTGGAAGATGTTTCCTTCTTTGTGCTTTGCGTTGTCTTATTATGTTAGTTTAATTAGTTAAGCAATTAATTAATAATATTAATTTATTTGTTGTACAGTAATGGGGGACCAAAGTGGAGGTATTATATGGTTCAATTATGGTGGATGTTTTGTACAGGGACCACCATTTAGATATGTAGGGGGTGTACGAGAGGATGTTCCATGTGATACAGATAGGTTGAATTCATTTATGATTACTGACTATGTTGTTAGACAAGGTTATGATCTAGTTTCAATTAAAGACATTTACTATATGCAACCTTGGATGGATATGCCAAAAGGATTAGTTTCTTATAATTCAGACAATGCAATTAGGGAGATGAATGATATAATTTCATATGATGGCAATGTGGAGTTGTATGTAGACTGATGCACCAAATACGCACTACTTTTAGGCAGGTGAACCTAATTGATTATGCAGTATAAAATGAGTAAGATATCGTTCCCTCGAGGACTATCCTACACTATCAAGACACTATTAATCTAACCTAAGTTGAATTAACCAATTAATGGGGAAAACTAAACTATTTAAAAGAAAACTAAGTAAACTAAGGAAATTAAACTAAAGAATTTTCTAAATTAAAGAAACTATGAATGAGAAGGAACTAGGGTTTGGATTTCATTTAATTCTGAATTATGCAACTGTTTCATTAATTTAATTCAAGTTCAAATAATAGTGTTATCGCATGAGATGGCGGATTTCCCTAAATTAATTAACCAGCTTTCTCAAGTCAAGCTAATCCTTCATTTGTTTGCTAAATTAATCATATCTCTATGTAATTTTAAACAAACTAATGAGCATTAAATTCTATGGAAATCTCTAGCTTAAGAAGGGGAGCTACTAACTCTCTTCTCTTCCTCCACTACCACATGTGAGCTAATTACCTCTCGGTTTCATAGTCTAACACGCGGTTTATATTATTATTGGTCTAATTTACACAATTCTTTCTCAAGTTCATGCATAAATCACTAAATCAATTGAAAGGTGATCAAGCTCTCAATGCATTAAGTTCAATAATATAAACTAATCATGCAAATAACCAATAAATCTTGAATTAAACTAACAAAAACAGTCACATACTTCAAAAATTAAAATCCACCCATCCCTAGTTCAAAGAAATCTAGTCACACATGTTTATGTTCTCAACAGCCATGAAAAATAAATCCTAGCAGAAAATCATAGTAGAAGAATCAAAAACAACAAAACCCAAACAATGGAGAATTGTAGTTTGCCGAATGGTGTGCTGTTGTCTGGAAGCAAGGCTGGTGGAGAAGAAGCAAGACTGGGCGGTGTTGAATAGATTTCAGGGTCCTCTTGTGTAGATTGGATTCGGGTCCCTCCAATTAGGCTGAGTGGCGACTTTTCCTCCAATGTGCAGAGCAATCTCATGCGGCTGTGTTTTTTTTTCAATTTTGCCGAGTAGCATATATATATATATATATCAAGCAATTAGAAACCCTTATTTCTTTTAACCCTAGCAGACATGGGTTATGGGCTTTATTTTGGGTCTGGACTGTAGTTGGCCCACACTTAGAAAACACAGCCCAAGTCTCTTTATTTCTGCACTCTATCCATTATCAAAACCATCCACTTCAACTTAAATTCTGTATTGATACAGAAGGAACTGGGTTGAGCTCATAAAATATCAATTGTAGCTCTGCTTCTTAGCTTTCCAACGCCTAAAGAATCAACTCAATCCGATACCTAAAGAAAAAGATATGGTTAAATTACTGCAATATGTGCAAATTGTCACTTATTGTAAAATTAATTCCTATCTTAATTTTCACCTACAAATAATGAATTTAATATAAACAAAGGTGAAACTAAGTTACAAAGGACCCATAAAATTTAATCCTAGGCTCAAAAAGGGTAGATAAATGCATATAAAAATTAAACTCATCATAGACCATGACATCAATATACCTGAGATTGTTGAGGGTCCACTATTGCTCACAGGACCAGTAGGTAATGATAAGGAAGTGTTAGATACTAAAGATGAGGGTGACAATAGTAGTAGTGATGTTTCTGTGCATAGGGATGAGGGTAATTTAGGAAGTGAAAAAGGTAGTGATCTCGATAGTGGTAGTGATGATGTGTCAGTTATTGACTGGGAGACAAGTTCAAATGATAGTACTTGGTCATTGGGGAGTGACAACATTGATGATGAGCAAGTCAATATTGCTAAGTTGACTCAAGAGGTTAGGAAGAGAAGGAGAAATGCCACAAGAAGCAATAGAACCAAGGCAGATGTGCATACTACAACTAGGAATGAGCAAGAAGATGATCATGTTGAAGAACCTGTAGTCACTCAAGAGTAACCAACTGTCTTGCAGCAACAGCAACCTATAGTCACAGATGATCAAGCTACTGTCCAAAAAGTTACTGTGACAGATGCTGCTAGTATAGAAGAAACTACAAGGAAAACATGCAGTAAAGGTAGAAAAAAGAAATCTATTGCTCAGCATAAAATGAGACAAGGTGGTGGAAATAGGGTGGGAAGAGGTGATCCAGTGATGACAGTGGCTCCTCTACAAATGAAGAAGACAAGGAGTCTGATTATGCAGACAATGATGATCCTGGTGCTTGGGAATTTCATTGGAATTCAGATGATGAGAATGACATCTTTGTGCAACTAGATCATGTTGTTAGTAGAAATGTCTACTATAACCCAAAATAAAAGGTCCCATATTTTGATATTGGGATGAGGTTCAAAGATGCAAAGCAATTTAGAATGGCAGTTTGTAAATACTCCATACAAAAGCAAGCTCAACTGCAAAAGCTCAGGAATGAGAGTACTAGGGTGAGGTTTAGGTGCCAAACAAGGTGCAAATGGGAGTTGTTTGCCTCTTATGACCCAAAATATGAGTGCTTTGTGGTGAAGACATACTATAGGGAGCATAGATGCTTCAAATCTTATGACAATGAGCTTGTAACTTACAAGGTTGTAGCAGATATTTTTAAAGGAAGGATTTATGAAGCACCATCTACAAAACCATCCAAGATTGTTAAGTGGTGCAAGGCTGAAATTAAAGTGAACACACACTTGACAAGGCAGAAAAGGCAAAGAAGCATGTTATGACACAACTGGAGGGTAGCTATGTTGATGAATACAAATACTTGAAGAGTTACACCAAAATATTGAAGGAGAACCATCTAGAGAATACCGTTGTTGTCATTGCCACTGAAACAAGTTCTAGTGAAACTAGAACTTTCCATAGAATATATGTTTGTCTGCATTCCCTAGAACAAGGTTGGAAGGATGGGTGCAGAAAGTTCTTTCGTGTTGATGGCTGTTTCTTGAAGGGAATATACAAGGGAATTATGCTATCTATAGTTGGGAGGGATGGGAACAACCAAATGTTTCCAATTGCCTGGGTAGTAGTGGAGTCTGAATGTCTTGAGTCATGGCAGTGGTTCTTTGAACTACTGAAAAATTGATTTAGATCTTGGCAGTGGTGCAGGCATAACAGTTATGTCAAATGAAATCAGGTGAACACATTAGTAGCTTTTATTTATTTATTTATTTATTTATTTATATGCTAATATTTTTAATTATTAAAACTTTATATTAATTGTTGTAAAATTATTCATTGTTGTTGTTGTTGGTTTTAATTATTGGTATATACTATAATATCCACTATAGAGTTAATATTACCCGAGGTTGAGCATAGGCATTATGTAAGATATTTATTGCAATTAGGCAAAGTTGGGTCATAGAGGTGATGAGATGAAGATCTACTTCTGGAATTGTGCAAAGGCAACATTTGGGGATGATTTCATTGATAGGTTAGGTGATTTGGTTGCAAAGAATAGGCAAGGACATGATGACTTGTTAAGGTACCCTAGAGAGCATTGGTGCAAAGCATTTATCCAAGATAATTCTAGATACAATTCAATTAACAACAATATTTGTGAAACTTTCAACTCTTAGATACTAGGGGCAAGGTGTAAGGCAATAATTGCAATGAATAATCAAATTTGGGATCAATTGATGCTTAGGGTAGCTGATAAAAGGCTATTTGCAGAAAAATGGCCTGAAGGTCATGACATTGCTCCTAAAATCAGAAAAAAGGTTGAGGAACTGAAGGCAGAGTCACAAAGATGTAGTGTGCAGCCAAATGGGGTTAATCAGTTTGAGGTCAATGATGGTGGGGATCAACATGTTGTCAAATTTAATGATAAAACTTGCACATGTAGATATTGGCAACTCTCAGGGGTTCTTTGCCCTCATGCTTTGGCTTGCATAAGGTACAAAAGGTGGAGCGTAGACAATTACATTTCATACTTTTATAAGAAAGAAAAATATTTGGTTGCCTATGCATACCATCTTCAATGCATAAGGAAAGGGACAAAAGCAAGGAAGACTGTGGGTGAAGAAGAGTTGTTACCACCACCTGTTAAGAGCATGCCAAGGAAGCTGAGGAAAAACAGAAGAAGACATAAAGGTGAACCACAAAAGATCAGGAAAGGGAAGCTTAGGAAGCTTACTAGAAGAGGGAGAAAAATGACATGCAAGGTGTGTGGCAGTGAAGGGCACAATTGGAGAACATGCCCATCTAACAATACAAAAGGCAAAAATGAGGGTGCATGAGTAAAAATCACTGTAAGTATGATTACGTTTGGTAATATATATATATATATATATACTTTCTTTCTTTTTTTTGATAACTTAGTTGGTGGTTGAGGATATTTTTCCCCTTAAAACTGTATTTCTCCCCTTTGAATTTAGTAGATGCTTGAATGAACATGCTTTATTGGTTCTAGGGTGAAAACAAGAGAAAGAAACAGGGAGGTGAAGTCGCCTCAACCTCAGGTAGTAAGAAAAAGAAGGCGAGGGTCCCTACAACCAAGGTCCCTACAGCCACAAGGAGCTTTACTGTATGTTTGAAACCATATTCCTTTTTTTTTTTTTATAAGTTTTATAGTTAGATTATTAATAAAGTAAATAACCATGCATGTTGAATGATGTAGGGTGTTGATGCTGCTGCTAGTAGTGTGCCTGCAAGACCTACCACAAGAAGGCAATGAAAAGGCCTAAATATTGCTTTTTAAATGGAAATGCTTTTGTTAATTTTTGTCTTTTTTGAACAGTGGTGATTTAGGGTTTTGGTTTATTCAAATTGTGACCAAAAAGGTTAAACCAATGCTATGTCCTTATTTATATAGCTTATATCAGTGAATGACCAAAAACAGCAATATATATGATCATATGGATTCTACATTCTGTATATTTTGTAACAGTAAATTGCAAAAACAACACTTAATGTATGGCCAAATAGGGGATTTGGTTTTGTATTTTTCTTTCAATGAATGGCAAAAAATGAAAAAATGGCAAAAAAATGGAAATTGTTACTACAAAGGCTTTGTATATGTATACCTTACTTGCAAACAAGTCATAGTGATGTACATAACATAACAGGTTGATAGTGATGTACACAATATAACAGGGCATTTCATTTCATTTAGATAACTTTTCACCCAAATTGGGTATAACTTCTGGTCATTGCCAAACTTACATGAAATGCCCAAAAACACACATAACCACACTCAAATTTCCAACATTCTACCAAAACAAGTTTAGAAATGCCAAATTCAGAAAGCAAAGCGCAACAATAACACATCCAAGTTTACAAAATGCAGTCTGCATTTTCTTTTCCCACAAATTCTCTATTTCATGCATCCTCTTTTCCACCCTATCAATTTTAGACAGTTGCTCACAACCAACTTCTTCCATTGGCTGATTAGTTTCAGTTTCCTCTACCCTCTCGTTCACACTAACACTTTACCTTTGCCTCGTTTGCTCAACATCTTCCTCATGACTATGCTTCAACTGCTTCCTTAGCTCAAAATTTTCCTTTAATAGTTTCTTCCTTTCATTATAGAGGTACCAAATAACATCTTTGGCCCTTTGGGTGAAGTCTGTATCATGCCACACAAAGTAATCACACTTCTTCGACACATCCTCTTCCTGTAACCAAATTAAGCATACAAAATCATTCTTTGAAACTGAAAACCAAAATAATAATAATAATAATAATAATAATAATAATAATAATTTTTCGAAAGTGAAACCCACCCTAAAATCTAGACATCCATAAAAGCGATGACCTGGATTTGAGTCCCTCCATGCAGTCCACCGTGGAGCAAACTTACCACAATCACAATGGCGGATGGGTGGTGGGTAGTCATACTTGAGAATACCATCATATAAGATGAAAGGAGGACGGACAAATGAAGTTGATGCACCACGTGAAGCAGAACCTCGTGAGTATGTCCTCGACATTTCTCTCTTAGCATAAATTGTGGTTGGGTTCAAGAGAAGACAATGAAAAAGGAAGATCGTGGAAAGCTCGATGAAGATTAAGAAGGGGATGAAAACAAACCCTAAATCCTCAAAATGGTTATGCAGATTTGTTTTAAAAGTCCCGCGCGAAGTGGGTCCTACTGTACACGTGACGTCCATGTGTGTAGAAAATAAGCCACATCATCAAAAAAGGGATTCACATTGGATTACTAACACCACACAATGCCACATCAATTTTTGGGTGCCACGTAGTGCATTTTTTAACGGTGCCGTGACGACGCATTAAAATATTGGGTTTTTCATGAGTTTTGAAAAGTTGAGGGTGTGAATAAGAAAGAAAAATTTTGAAAAGTGTTGACTGTGGAAAAGAATTAAATGAATGGTGCAAATAGGGGCTTTGACCTAACTTGAATGGGAAATGCATTAACAGCGGCTGGAATGAACTACTTTGCAGCTAACACCTATCCCAAACCCAAATCACAGAACTTGAGTTTGTGTAGCAAAAAGACAACCTTTTCCTTATCAACATGTAAATGTAATGCATTCGGACAAATTAAACTGCAACTGAAAAGAAAATCTCAATTAAATACAGGAAAAAAACGCTAAAACATCAATATCAAACTGACATATATAAGATTAAAAAGCAACCATGAAAAAAAAAAGAAGTTTTTTTTTTTTTGATCTTTAATGT